GGCTTTGGACTTTCTTTGTTTTGCACGTGAATTCTCCATACGACGGAGGTCTTAAAAGGTTATCCCTAAACTAGTTAAAAATCAGATAAATTACGTGAAGTGCCTACTGGACACACAAATGATGCTATCGTTACTTTTTACACAATTTTACACGTGTATCGCCTCGCCTATTTTTTTTCTGTCTTCTCGTTTCATAGTTAAACGTGAGAGCATACAGGAATACACACGAGTATTAGTTTTCGAGTATGTATGCGATTGATTGCATAGTTCGCGTTACATGCACGTTTATCACGCTTTTTAAGTTTGGAAACGCATACACAATCTTGGACAACGTGACAGTATTAATATAATTTCGATTCGTCTTTCACGACTTGTATCCTACGTTCCACACACGAGGCCCTTTCGAGTACTTGGTGCTAAACGATGTCTCAAACCACCTAGGTCCAAAAATCACTGAACATACTCCGTGTTGGAGGTTGCGCCGGTATTGTTGGTAGCTTCTTCAGGGATCAAACGATGATAAACGCTGATATGAATATCACCGTATAATTTGACCTTTAAAGAAGCTAGCTCCGATGGCAAGAAACGTCAAAGTACCTTAACCCAAGGACAGAGCTCACATTCAGAAGCCTGAATTAGTATCAACCATGAAGAATCGAGCCGTGAAAGCTCTAAATATCTTATTCAAAGGTACAACTTCAATATTATTCGTTATAAGGACGTTCATTCTTGTTTTTCTTACTGGTTAAGCTATAATAAACAACACTAGGGGATATCAATTGACCGGCAGCAATAACTACGTCTCTCGTAACCCTTTTGACTCTAGCGAGATATATATGTCCCAGTAGAGTGGTTCTTATAATTTCAACTTAATCAGCCTATAACTTTATACCGTTGGCTTGCGAAATTTTTACAAGTCTTTTTTTTGAAGAGCATTCGATTTCCTAGAAAAATATACCATCTCATGATGTTTCTGTAATATTTCATTTTGAAGATATAAAAATCAAAATGTATTAAGTTTTCTTTCCTATTTATTCCTATGTTAAGTGGGAAAATTCGACCATTATGGGGAGGTATTAAAAATTGAGATAGAAAGCTGACATTTTTAGGGGATTTGTGTTTAGTCATTTCGAAGCTTTTAAGACTCCAGGAACATTAAAATTCGAAAGTTACCCTTCTAAGAACCACTCTGATGTCTGAGTGAATATACATTGGTGTAGAATGTATCCGTACACCGATCAATTTCCCAAAAAACTTTTCTGTGAAATTGTAGTTTCTTAACTTCCTTTTTTATAATCAATGATATTTTACATATTCTCGGAAGTCTCTAAGATATAGTCCCAACAACATTTACTAGTTAATATAAGTTATGAAATTAAGAAAAAAATGCGAAGAGTGGATGAAAGTATAGAAGCAATAAGTATTTGTACGATTCTTATGACGAACCATTTACAGCAGAGTTTGTAACGTAAACACATTAGTTTATTGCTCCGTGCGAATTAGAAAACATCAAATTTCCAGGAAAGTACTTTTAAACAGTTGTGCGAATACTTATTGCTTCAATATTTCTATCGATTAATTGTTTTTTTCTTGTTAATTTCGCAACTTACATAAATAGCTATTTTTTTTTGTAATCTATCTATTCTAGAGATTTCCTAGAACATATGTAGAATGTCATTGCTTATAAAAAATAAGTTAATAAATTACAATTTTGCACAAAAGTTTTTTTGGAAATTGATTGGTGTACGAATACTTTCTACACCCACTGTATCTGGTTACCATTAATCAAATTACAATTGAGACTCACAGAAGCATACGTTAAAAAAATGAACATCATTTGCACTGCGCCAAATTGTCGTATCTTATCTGGCTACGCCATTTGATTTATAGCCAACCCCTAATGTAATACGAAAACAGTTCGGTTAAGGCGATTGCGAAAGGGTTACGGTGATCGTTCGAGATGTCAGATCGATCTACTGATCTTGTATTCAAGATCGGTCCACAAGAAATCATGTTTAACACATCGACTGCCAGAAATTTGATCAAGACTACATAATCCAACATTTCTCGTAGTAATTATTTTTGTAATTTTATCAAAATTTACAAAGTCTATCCAGTTTTTTTTCTGTAATATCCTACCTTCGGAATTAATTTCTTATAATTTCTTAGTGGAAAGTTCTCTTACGTGTGTATGGATCACGTGGCGGTTAATATGTTAACACGTTAAGCGACCAGTCAACATTGATTTTTTTCCATTAATACTGCGATATGTTGAACATTGGAGAGATACTTATGGTTATTTTTTGTATGAATCTTATAGCAATCTGTATACTATAACTCATATTTTTCTTGGTTCTTTTATCCCTTTGACTGTGGAGGGCGTATATATACACCCTCGAGAGATAAGCTCCGAGAAATGTTTGTATTCGTTAAATCGATTTTAATAAAAAATATCAGCTTATAGGGGATGATGAGAAGAAACCTTTTTATATTTACAGTTTATTCATAGGATGCTTAGTTTCGAAAATAAAAATTTAAAAGTTAAAAGTTCGTTGGGAAAAGGTCTTCTAAGATTTTTAATTCTTATCTCTGAAACTAAACGCCCTATGAACAAACTGTAAATATATAAAAGTTTCGTCTTACCATCCTCTATGAGGTAATATTTTTTAATATATCGACAAATAAGTAATTGTCAACTAACCATGCTTTCATTTTCACTATTTCAAATGTAATCAAATTCATAGAAAAATGGTCTTCTACGTTCTTAATTTCTATTTTAGAGACTAAACGTCTTACGAATAAACTGTAATTATAAAAAAAGTTCCGTCTTATCATTTCCTATAAACTGATATTTTTTTTAAATTCAGACCTCTACGTCACTTGGAATTTCTAGCAAAGATCGTCCCGCAGTGAAAGGGTTATAAATGTTTCCTCTTTGGTCAGTTGCCTTTATCAGTTGTCAGTTGTCCTTCTACCCATAACAGTGACAGTATCAGCATAGTACGCGTGTGAAAGCGATTCAGGTGAAATTAATTTCCCACGTCGCTGTGTCGTTCTTTCTTTATCAGAATTTTTCACATTTTCACAATTTGTATAATCTTCAAATTATTCAATCCTTTGAATGTTACGAATGTTTGTATGCGTCCAGAGAAAGCTATTGGTGTGGACTATAGAAAAATATATGCGTAGGTCTATCTTTTTCAATTACCCCTTGATAATGTTGCGCGTGGCATCATCGGTAAGAAAGTACAGGAAAATAAACGTCCCTACAATGTACGTGACTGAAGTTAGAATCGAGTCTTTTTGTGCCTGTATCAATGAAATAAATTCGATAAAAGGGCTTGACGACACGATCATTCTACTCCTGGTTTGGCAAGTCAGGAGATGGAAGAACAAAGTTCAGTAATCTTCGTACCATAAGTAGTATATCTGAATAGCCTCGGACCACTTGGGCGCTTTGCGCGGAACTACGCTACTTGTTTTTCATGATTTTAACAATGCAAATTGAGTTACGCATCCGATTGATTTTGTTACGTACGTAACTCGTAAATGTAAGACGGCTTTGAACCAGTAAACTATTTTGATTTGGGTTTCCATGTATGTACAATAAATAATCAATAAATTATGTTGCTACTTATACATGGTTGATAATAACTTAGACTTCCGAGTGTACACCGCGACTTTTGGATGAGATATTTCGACGTTTCGTTAATATTGTAGTTACCTTCTTCGGGAGTCAAATGATCCACATTTTAAGGTATCGTGGCTCGTGTTAAGATTCAATGACTAATCGTAGCAGAATATTAAATAGCTACAAACCATCGAATACATTTTTGACAAAACAAAATCAACAGTCAAATCCGAAGAATAGTTTTCCCAAAGACATAAAAAATCTAATATAATTTGAATCCTATCTGGAACGTGGTCTTGCAGTTTTTTTTGTCTAAAGAACAATCAAAACAAAGTAGTGATTGGTGAAGAGTGCGACGAGCACTTTTACCTTAAAATGTTTATATCGGAGTATTTTATTCAAAGGACACAGCTTAGACCCGAAAGCCTCGATTAGTATCAACCATGAATTGGGCCGTGAAAGCCTCAAATATCTTACTATTTATACATTTCACGATAATCCGTTAATTAATCAATCTGGCAATAAAGTCGGTGCAAATAATTCGCGAGTATAAAGAATGTGCCCGCGCCTTTCCCCCACTTAGTTTCCTTGATCATGTGATGCGCGACGTTCGTGCGCAAAGAAATTCGAATCATATGCGCATGACAAACCTTCGATGATCCAACAAAGCGTTTAATCACATGATAACTGAAATGAACTTTCCGAAAAAAAGTGTAGGTTGGAAGAGCATCGTGTAAATATTATTTAAAAAATAAATCTGTAACACTTATTATAGTTCTGATATATGTGTTTTTCTTCAAACTTCGATTATCATGTGATTAATAGCGTTACAACATCATATTAGATCTAACAAGGAAAGATATCCAATTCCAACACACCGATTTTGATGAAACTTATGCGAGATATAGTTCTCTAAACAATATTTGACACATATTTTTTTTATCGGCAATCGTGCATATTCAAGGGGTGATAACAGCCCCTAAAGCAAAGGGTGAAGAACATGTTTTTCTAAATAACTTGGAAACTAGAGGTGCTAAGACAAAATTTTGTTTTAAATTATGCATTTTTGAATGGGTAATTAACTCATGCCAGAAGAAATTCTTTATTTAATTTATTTAAATAATTTATTTTTGAAAAAAATGTTTTTCTTGTTAATTTTTCTTACTAAATGTTGTTTTCCATGTATGAAAATTTATATGTGTAAACTACAGGTTAAAATAAGGGATACATGTTTTTGGAAATTTTGTTTTTCATCATATAACAATAATTAGATGAAATGGGGAATTCCTTTTTCCGCGCTAAAAATATGATTTCTTTACCCTTTTTTTTTTTAAAGTATACAAGCCTTTAAATTAAAATTTTACACATGTCTTTAGTACTATTTTAGTATGATGTACAAATTGTGATGGAAAGATTTACCTAAAAATATACATGTTTTTAAAAAAATATTTGACATGTATTTTTTTTTATCGGCAATCGTCCATATTGAAGAAGTGATAACAGTAAATTTTGAGGTTTAAACTGTATTTTTTTAAATATCTCGTAAACTAGAAGGTGTAGAACCATAATTCTTGTTTTTTAATCTTGTATTTTTGAGTGATGGATTCATATGTAATGGAAAATTGAAAAAGAAACACCATTTGTTTAAATAATATGTTAAAAATATTATTTTTTTATGTAGTTCTTTTGGTTAAACGTTAATTTACTTTCAAGTATATTGATATACGTAAATTATGGACAAAAATAGAACATATGTGTTCTTGGAATTATCCGTCATTTGTCATTTAGAGGTTCTTATTAAATACATAATTTGTTGTCACGTCATACAATGAAATATATGCATTCTTGCTTTGCCGAAAAATATCATAAATTTTTACGATACTTTGAAGAGGGTGTCATACAATATCGATAGTTTTACCTTCAAACACCAAGAGAGGTGTCGCAGGGATGTTTGCTTGCGGTGCTAATTACCATTCCAATGGTCAGAAGCTTTTGTAACCTATACTCCCTTCGACCTCTTACCACCAAAATACAATTATTTCTATAGAGTAACAATATTTGTCAAATATTTGTTTAATATATCTCACATAAGTTTCACCAAAATGTTTCCATTACCACGTCACGGTCATCGGGCCGTAACAAGTATATTTTTAGGTAAATCTTTCCATAACAACTTGTACATCATACTAAAATAGTACTAAAGACTTGTGTTAAATTTTAAATTAAAGTCTTCCATACTTAAAAAAAAAGAAAGGTAAAGAAACCACGTTCTTGGCGCGGAAGAAGGAATTCCTCATTTAATATAATTATTATTATATGGTGAAAAACAAAATTTCCAAAAATATGTAAGCCCTATATTAACCTGTAATTTACGCATATAAATTTTCATAAATGGAAAACAACATTTAGTAAGAAAAATTAACAAAAGAGACATTTTTTCAAAAATAAATTATTTAAAAAAATTATATAAGCAATTTCTTTTGGCATGAGTGAATTACCCATTCAAAAATGCATAATTTAAAAAAAAATTTGACAATTCAATACGATTGCCAATAAAAAAAAAAACTATGTGTGTAATATTTGTTTGAGTACTATATCTTACATAAGTTTCATCAAAATCGGTGTGTTGGGGTTGGATATGTTTCCTTGTAAGAGTAGAAAAGTCGCAAAATGTATTTTATCGATTTCTTCTTAAGTCATTATAGCGATAACGCAATCGCCTTAAAATCGCTGTACAATTACTCGACAAATGCAATTTTTTAACGAAGAATTACGGTTAAATAGGTTAAATAGAATATTCATCGATTTATCGATTTATATTAATTTTTACAAATACGGAGTTCAGAATGTTTGGAGGTGGTTCTGCGTGGTTATTTCGCACCGCAGCCACAGAATTTGCGTTTTATTAGGATGGAACAGAAGTTTTCTTTGATTTTTCTTCCTTCCCTCTATATCTTTTATCAACGAATGTTTTAACTAAATACAAATAGTAGGATATTTATGTTACATACACCATTTTATAACTCAGTTAACAAGTTACAGAACAGGTGGGATAACAAAACCGCTTCTCGAAAAAGGCATTATCGCGTGTTTGGTGGAATTTTGAAGGTGCGACCCACGTTGAATTGATTTTAAACAGTCGGGGCATAGATGCTGACCTCTACATTTTATTTGTATTATTTAATTTAGCATAAAATAATTACAATTATAACTTAGCATTGCCTTGTACATTCAGTTGACAAAATTCATTCCAGCAAAATAGTATTTCGTTCCCAGCAATTGCAATACCTAAAGGTAATTTCACTGATTTTGAATAATTCAGCACTCAAAGAGTTCAAAAAATTAATCATTTACATTATTGTAGGATAATTTTAGGGCACGTCTGCTCTGTTCATCGATCGACTAAATTTTTTATAAGCACCTGATCGTTATGCTCACAATAACATTTTCGAAACTCAACTATATCCTATATAATACAAATACAGTAGAGCTCCCCCGTATCCAAATATCGTTATATCTGAATGTTTTATTATCCGAATTGCAAAAAAAAACATTAAATAAAAGTTAATAAATATAATAAATAAAATAAAAACATACATTTTTCATTGGTTGAAACAATAAACGAAAGTAATGATGAGTTAACGTGCCTTCCCACGGCGAAACATTCTTGGCATTTGAAAAAGGAATTTGATGTTGTGAAAGTTATACGATTAAGTCAGCGAAAGAAATATGGAATCCTTAAATATTGAAACAAGTTGTCAATTTTGTAAGTTATCTATTTGAATAAATTGAAATTTAATATAAAAAAAGGTGATTATTCTATTATCCGAAAAATTCCGCTACACGGTCATTTTTGTCTTCCAATTAGTATGGATACGGTAGGCTCTACTGTACTACATTACAGTAGAACTCCATTTATCCGAATCGGTTGGGGGACAACCAGGTTCGGATAACTAGATCCATATAACTGGAGTTTACGAATTCCCATAAGCATTCACAATAGTGTTCGAATAACTAAATAGGTACTGTGGCGTCGTCAGTCCAGATAAATGGAGTACGGCGTTTTTGGGGTTAAACCAAGATAGAGGGCGTTCAACTGACAGTGGAACAGAGAAGTTGTACCGCAAAATCATCTTGCAATAGTGTAAATACTACATTTTTTAATTAATTCTCGGAAAACCTGTGTTCGTTATTTTGCAGCAACGTTTTAATCTCTCTCCCAAAATTCCAATATCTTATGTATAACATGAAACTTACATAATTTTATTTAGTTTAAGCAATCGTTAAGAAAGAACATAGATAGAAGGAAGGTAACTCGAAAGAAACTTTTTGTTCACCGTAATATTTTGCTACATTCGCGTTATATATATATTTTTTTAATTTGTATACACTGTAACGCGACTGTGTAACAAAATATCATATTCTAGAGCGACCATTGCTATATTACAAGATTTCGGCGTTGTAAAGACAGTTATCGCGTATCACGTGGCCCAAGGAGAACGTGAAAGTTGGGGGGAGGAGGAGAAGGGGAAAGAGGAGGAGGGAGGAACTACAAATTGTACGCTCGTGAACGATTCGAGCCGAATATACATGGATTCAGATGTTAACGTTAATTTTAGTCGATGCTATGACAATCGACACGGACCGAAACAAAGTTTTCTTGTGTTCCATTTAAATCTTCAATGCCATTGATATAAATCCCGACACATTGCCCACTTGAAAAGAATTGAACTTCGACCCTGCAGCAGCTTATCGACGCATGATCGAGAAATAGTTGAAATTGACGAAGTTTGGGAGAACACAAATAGACGTCGGTTGTCTTTCTATACAAAAGAATGACGGGACTCGTCGCGGTGCGTACTGTACATCGAGTGTAAATAATAATACTATGGTACAAAGTATAAGTACATTGGTTTAAATGATTGCAGGCTGCTCCTCTCATATCACAGCGAGGGGCGTTGCCGGGCCCGCCACTAAATCTCTAAACACGACCTTCTTTAAAAAAAGAAAGTGACGCACGTACTCGCACGTGTATACAACTTGCGCACTCATACCCCTTCGCACCAATATAATATTTTATATTTATATATGTATATATGTATATATATATATATATAATCTTTCTCTTTTTTTATGTATATATTTATATCTCCTTGTACAGGATACACCGCGTAACTCTAGCATTTCGAATACCCCCCTTATCGTCGACGATGTAATCCGAGGAAGGAATCGTGAGTTCGGAAGACGCGAATATCGCGATTAACGGAATTCGTTGCTCTCAAGGTCGGAATGCTGGAAATTGAGAAGACTCGAGACGCTTGGTCGCGTCGTCGACGACAACGGGAGCCCTGACGGTGGTCAAGTTACACGAGATACCCTGTATATATTTGTAACGCAAAATAACCCTAAGTGAGGTGACCATCACTGTCGCGCATGGACGGTCAGAGTACGGAGGGCCGGGACGTTGCGGCACCACGTGTCTTGCGGCCCAACGGCTCAGTCTAGGCGCCGCATCCGTCGGACCCTCGTGCGAAACCACGTCGCAGGGTTCTAGAAACCGAAACTCAGACCCGCTGACGCTGGGACTCCAGCTACCGGGCCCATCGGTCCTCTTTAACACGTTTAAGACTAGTGTGACAATAGGAACATGGTATCTGCTGGCCCTGGGTGTTAGAAGGATATGTCGTCAGACTCCGGGTCCCGAATCTTTCGGCTCGGATGCACTGAAACACTGTCAGCTCTACGTGAACGTCTCTCTAGCAGCTAGAGCGGAGTTCGGTTCCCGATCGCGTGAAGTTTCGCTGAAGTAAGATATGTACCGGTCGAACTTCACGTGGCTAATCCTTCACCTCTAGCCGCCGGGGGCGGCTGAAGTCGTGCCGAGGGTGGCGTGGAGTTGTTCTCCGATCTGTTCGGAGGCTCCCTGTCGAAGTGATGCTGAAGAGCGTCACCTGTCCACGCGGGAACACTGGCCGAGTTTTGATTGCTGCCATTGGACGACGGAGTACCGGGAGAGTGGGATGGTGACGGCGTCTGGAAGAGCATGGACCCCGACGGAATCGAGGACTTCCCATCGACCAGTGGGCCGTTGCTGGTTGGCGCCATGGGCTGCTTGTCTAGAGGGAATCCAGCCCCCGCCGCGTACACCGAGCCGAACAAACCTGCGTACTTTCCAGTGGCCACTGAGTGGCCCGGTAACCCGTTGTTACTTTGAATCACCGAGATCTCGTTCAGCTGTAAGTAATGCACGCCGTCTGGTTAGCTTTATTCGGGACCAATTACCTACAAAAATGACAGAAAAAATCATCGTTAATCGTATCGAAAACTGTAATGCGGGATGATACTTTACAATACTGATATTTACTCGTGAAATTTATCATTTTCCCAGTTTAAAAATTACGTACGTACGTATTCTGTATGTTAATGCTTCGTTATAAGCTATAATTAATATTTAATACGAGTTATCTGAGTTTTAACGATAAACTATTATCTACACCATCAGACGTTGCTTGTTCTTTGCGTTCTTTATATCTTCAGAATAGAACACAGGGCGGTGAAGATTCCTTTGGTTGAAAGACTAAAGGTAATAATAAATATTAACTATGGACTTAGAATAAAGTACCTCCATCCACACATGACAACCTTCCTTTTCAGACAATATCTTTTTCCTCATTCTTGTGATAGCGGAACACGCCGATTTTGCCATGAATGTTTCACAATGAAATACTTTACAGTTTTATTAAATACTAAATTATTGCCATTAAACGGTAAATCGATATACAATTAAAGATATAAATATGCAAGTCCCCAAAGAATTATTTACAAAACAGGATTTGAACAAAGAGGATTGATTGAAAACTTAGAAGATTGCTAAATTAATACACCGAAATAACGAGTACATAAATCCTATTATTTAAACTACAGTTATAAACGATTGAATGTAAAGGTACAAAATGAATTTCTACAGGTAATAGATTCAAATTCTAACTAGTTTTGCTTTGACTCGAATTACATGTGAAAGCATGCCGACAACCAGAACTTCGTTAACCCTAGGTTTACAGAGCACAGTCAATTTAAGCCATTCCGAATTTTACAAGAAAAGTTACAAGGGCCGTTTACATCATAGGTTCCCAACCTTTCTTGGCCTACCGCCCCCTTTTTAACCGACTTTGAAAAGGAGGAGGTTACCCAATTCGACATGTATATATTTTTTTTTCAAACAGTGATTCTACGGCGCTTTCTTTTAGGTGAAATATACTATATTACTACATTATACATACATTTAAAAACAAGGACCGGTGTTTATTAAAATTACTTTATTGAAAGATATTAACATGTTGATGTATTGTTTAAAATTTGATAAACAAATATATATTATTAAAAAATTTAATATAATATTATTAGTGAGAAGGCTGAGCTTGGTGTAACGACAATAATTTTTCGATATTTTGTGTCAGATTTGTCATCAGCAATCTTAAATCGCCACGTTCCACTATTGACAATCTGTTTCTTTTCTTTGTTGCTAAATTGTTGATTACACTGACATTTACAACATTTGTTGAACATTGAAGATATTCGTTGAAACATGCGTTCGAAGATTTTTAGTACACATTAATCAAACTTTTGGCGCGTTCTTGCGAGTATTGCTCAGGGGGCGGCAGTTGGTTCTCAGCGCCCCTAAATTTGTCTTCGACCAAAACCGTCCCCTTAGATCTCTGTAACGGCCACCGGTGGGCGGTACCGACCCCGTTGGGAACCTCTGGTTCACATTTTTCGACAATCATTTATGCCGACTTTTATCCATTTAAAGAGACAAGCATATACCTAAACTTATTTTTGTCTAACCCTTCTAATTAATTCCAATAAATCGACTTCACTCGTGAAAGCATCACTTCGGCTATAGAAATCTAATGAGAAATCTCCGTAAACCTGTTGCGTTAACCGAGATTATACCTACGTCACTTTCGGTTTAGCCCGTCAACGACGGCATACGTACGAGATACGGACCCTTACAATAGTAATCCTCATCAGCCAAAAAGTCCTACCATCCTACCGTGTACACACCTTATCCGGCATGGTAAGTAGTTTCTCGCTATTCTGCTACCGTCGTTGAGGGATTAGGGTAAAGAGGGATGACGAAACGGAACATTGTGGGAATTGCTTACTTTCTGCTGTACGCCGTTAAGGAACGGCGCGGGTAGATACGGGTAGAAGAGATCCGGCCGTCGTTGAAGAAACTCCGAGTCCTTGGGTGTGATGGGTAGGGGAGGTAGGTCAAGTGACATTCGACGGCCTCGTCGAGAGGCTCCGTTGGTCCACATATGAGTGCCCATGTGCACCTACAGTCAGAAAACGTGACGTTGTCAGTACATCGGTTGGGGCTTATGGTTGCGCTGATCTTTCATCGAGCTTGCAGTATTGTACGTTACGCGTTGGCGTTAGTACAAGCAGTAGCAGCTAGCTAGTGTTAGTGATGAAGGAACTCGAAGAATTTGAAGATACGAGGAGGACAAGAGAAAGAGAGAGAGAGAGAGAGAGAGAGAGAGAGAGAGAGGGGGGGAGATATGGGTAGATAGATGGATAGATAGGTATTGTAAATGGATGGATAGACAGATAGATAGGCGGAGAAAGAGACAGAAAGAGAAAGAGGAAAAATTGTGTGTATACCTTGAGATTGCCCTTGGTGGTGAAGGCCTTCTGGCAGACGGTGCATCGGAACGGTTTGTCGCCTGTGTGAGTTCTCATATGGATCTGGAGCGCCGAAGATGAGGAGAAATTCTTATTGCAAATCTGGCACAAGTGTTTGCTCGGCACGCCTGCAAATACACACACAGTTTTTGCTAAACATGCCCTGACTCAAGTTACGCGAAGTTCAAGCTTGTCTTTTCAGCGAGATTTTCGCGGTTTGCAATCGGGAAGAGTCTTGTTCGTAGCTCAGTCTGCGACCAAGAAAGACAGAAACGAAAGGTGAAAGGTGGCCCAAACTTGCCGGCAGGAGCGCGTGAAAAGGACAGCGGTGAACAGAAAGTACAAGCGTGCAAGTAAGCGAAGCCCGTGTTGCACTACCCCTCGCGTTTCGCTAGAAGCTGAAATGCGATCTGTTAGCGAAAGAGTTAAACCTGCCAAGCGAAGCCTTGGACGGATCGACGTATGCTCGATGAAGAAGCAGATTAGACTCTTTTCGAGCAGTTTCGCTACTTACTGGCTGGTCTCTTTGGCGCTGGCAAGTCTCCCTCGGTCGGAGATCTCTTCACTGGTATGGTTTGCTCGATGGATGTCGGCGGCATCGGCGGAGGGGGTGGCGGTGGCGGCGGCGGTGGTGGCAGGCTCGAATCCTCGGCGCACATAGGACTCCTCGAGGTTTCGTGTTCCTGCGACTGCTGTTGATGCTGCTGTTTCGAATCGCTGAACAGATGGGGCGGCATGTCGCGGATTTTATGGGTCAGCATGTGCTGTTTCATATTCCCCTGCGAATCAGAAGACGAATTTTCGTTAAACGTCTCGCACCGACCGTCTCTGAAATTCAACCGTTTCGCCGATTACACCACTCTGCATAATTCTCGATGTTCCAAGATACTCGACTATTGTCGAATCAATGCTCGGATTACATCTAGAAACGTAGAAGTAAAAAGATTTTTCGTAAATTATATAAACAGTCGCATCGGGCAATCAGAATTACAGGCAAGACACGAGAGAAATGGAAAGCAGATATCGGGAAAGACGGAAAGACTCGCCGGCACGCTGGTGAGTTACAGATCGTCGTAGAAAAGGTAACGAAGGAAGAGAAACACCGAGGGGTAACACACACGAGAGATGATCGAATCTTATTCAAACGAATCTTTCGACGAGAAATTTTCGATTTTTACGTTTCATTGGAGTTTCCTACGGAGAATGACTGTTCTCGGGAAAAGTCAATGAAACGGGCAAAGTAACTGAATCTTGTTTCTTCGTTTACTAACAATTCTGACGTGACAGATAAAAATGGAATTCTTGAAATGTTCGTTCTTCGAATCGGCCGTTACTGTGAAAAAGTCCAGAAATTTTGTTTAAAATACACAGTGGTGTTATCATTGTTTTTGTTTGATTTCTCAAAATTCAGCAGGCTCTTACCAGGAGGCTGTGCGCCGAGGGTAGAAGTCCGAGGGCGGGTGACATCAACGGGGGTAGGCGGATGGCAGGATAGACAGGTGTCAGCCCCCGCCCCCCTCCGGCTCCTCTCCGCCCCCGGCTCTTCCGCTCCTCAGGCCGCCGCCGCCTGCGTTTCGGTTTCTCTCGATTACTGGCGCACGATGATCGATATTGGGAATCGGGTGAAGTGATCGAACTGTTATCGGGCAACGGTTGAGATGTACAGATGCATGCTTGCTGCCCGGAACCGTCGTTCTGAAAGTATCGTAGAAAAACAAAGATACAGAGATGACCAAATTCGATTCGGATTGGGCTTAATTGATGACGTGGCCGTACATTTTTCACAATAACGAACGAGTGGCGCGCATACGAAACAAGTTCGATCGAAGCGATATGCTAATAAATGAGCATATTTCGACCTGCTTAGAAACGATAAATTCATGCGGGACCGTTCACAGTAACATGCATAGAGCAAAATACATTCTCCGTTCATCATTTTCCCCAAAAGTGATGGAAAAGTTATAAAGAGTGTATGGAAAGACGTAGGTGTATGTATATGTGATAACTAGACTGCGGATCTTTATGCATTTATAGAAAATTTGAATGTGCAAGAAACTACAAAATGCAAACAGTATGCAAGAATATAAAAAAGATTGAAAGTAAAGTTCATGTTATAATATTTGCAGTATAAAATAAATTCCTATTTAGATTCAATTTTTATAGGGACGTTTGCGAAGATTTTATTTTGCATAAAGATCAGCAGTCTAGTGATAACAATCTCATCTAGTATATGTTACGCTCCTTATCTTCTTCAGATATTAATATTTGTAATGTATTGTAATGTGAGTGTTGGATGAATGTTTATATTTAAACCACTAGGTATGTTTGTATGTTTTATAGTTGTCAGTTATGTTTATCAATTTGTGTTAGTAATTTATTGATTAGTCATTCAATTTGTATCGCGATTTGATTTTGTCTGATATATTGTGTGTTGTCTTGGAATTTTGTCAGTTTTCGCCGAACCTCTAAATAAATATCCTTACATATATTGAATCATTTTTCGAAGAAATTGTTAATGAAATTAGTAGGTAAATCAACTTGAAGGGTGTACGAAAGAAATGTTTTTAGAAAAGTTATTCGATTCAAAGAGACAAATTACATGGAACAAGTAATTTTATCGTAAGTTGATTTATATTATAAGTAAGGGAGATTAAACAAATTTATTAATTTTTTTTAAACGAAACATATTTTTGTATTCATAATGTAATAGCATTTGTTTGCAAAAAATTCATTTACCCTATAATATTTGGGCATTTGCTGTAATATAAAGCCTTAAATTGGAGTTTGTAGTCAATATATTTAACGGAATTCGCTAATCGGTCGAATAAAGATAGAGCATTTTGAAAAAGGAAAGGAAATCCTTATTATATGTATACATATATTGCATTATATCTACTACACACAATCTCTAATTTAAGGCTTTATATTACAATAAATTATCATATATAGATCCATGAATGTTTTTAAACAAATGGCATCACATTATGGATAGAAATATACAAGATTACATTTAAACAAATTAATTCGTTTGTTAAATCTCCCTCATCACTTCACTTACAACAAAATTATTTATTCCATATAATTTAACCTTTTCGACCAAGTAACTTTTGTGAAAATATTTTCTTTAAAGCTTCATCTACTCGTGAGTTGCTCGATCCAGTTAATCATTTCGATTTAAACGAAACAACCTTTGTATATTCGAATTCAGTCTTCAGATGATTTACCTACCAATTTCGTTAACAATCTCCTCGAAAATGATTCATTGTAGTATCTGACGAAGATGAAACATAAAATGTAGGTTAGTACGACCACTATCAGTTTGACCTACACGTTTCATCCACATTTAACAACTTTCCATCACTTTGGGGTAAATATGATACGGACATACATTTTACTCTATGGGTGACACCGTGAAAGATTCTGCGTGAATTTCTCGTTTCTTAGCAGGTCCGAAAATGTTCATCTTTGAACATCCCCGTTTCATGGCGAATCAATTTAGACGGATGCTTCAGGATGTTCCGATCGTCGTTACTTTTGCTAACGAACAAAATACGAGGAATCTCTACTTCGTTAAAGGTTTCGATAAAGGGATCGTACGAGGACTAGATTGAATAGATATTTATGGGCAAATCCACAGAACTTTTAAATCTGCAATCTCGCGTCTTTATTTAATGTTCTAATGTACTACTTTTCTAATGTTTCAGTATTTTAACTATCATATGTCATTATCACTATCATAAAAAACAAGTTTTCCATGGGTTTAGTAAAATTTGTGAGCTATCTGAGAAGCCAGAAAGTCGTTAAAAAATTAAAATTTTAAAAATTGCCCTGTGACTTTGTTAAATTTCAAATATCTTAAGATAGCTGTAGGAGCGCCGTCAAATATTTTGATGTGGCAATAATTGGAGAAGATTGCAGGTATATATGTGAAATGAATCTATAAATCTCATATATGTGCTATTATTCCATAAATAGTTACATGATCATGAAACACGTGGCCAACTTTCATTAATTTTTCAATTTTGCAGTATTTTGTTTTACGAAATTTACGCTGTCAAATTTTGTTCATTTCTAATCCTTGAAATTCGTTTATCTTATGAAGAGGAATCAATCCTGACATCCCAGATTAATGTGTCTCTTTTTTTCAGTGAGTTAGAGTAGTTTGAAAATTTTGTCCAAAAACGTGATCGATATGGAAATTTCAGTTACATGAAGCACATTCAAAATACACTATGTATAGCCAGTCTCGCAGTTGTGAACTAAGCTAAGGTATTGATATTTGAATCAAATAAATTCGTATTCTGTATTATTAAAAAATCGACTTATGAAGAAATGATAAAAACAATTCAAACACGTGGTATAAAGCTGTTTTGTAATTTTTTCAGCAATTTAAATATTAAATAAATATTGTTAATTATTATTTCAATATTTTTCCAAATTGTTTTCACGAATGTTGTATTTCCAAAATATATTGTATTTTTCGTTATGTTTGTATATTTTGAAGATTCATGAAGTTTTATTAGGAGTTATTGAATATTGAAATACTGAATAAAAAATTTGTTACTTTCAATATTATGATTTAAAGCCTTTTTTTGAATTTTACCTTCTGAAAACCACGCCGTCAAGTTAAACTCGATCACGCATACAGTTTTTGTTAGGTCTTGAAAGTGTGAATGTGCGTACTAAATATTAAAATTGAGCCGTCAAAAAGAAATACTTTTTTCAATTGCTAATCTAAAAGTTTTGTGATGTTGCCCTTATACGGGATACGTATGTTTCGAATGAGACTTATATGTAGAGTAAATTATCATGGACAAGAAAATGCATACACTGCGAATATTTGCAATTCTTTGTTTTTAACACGTTCACCGCGGCATATGTGTCTAGTACGGTGTTGTGTTATAAATCGTGGCGTTTTTCTTCAAATTTAACTGTCTAAACGTTTATTTTTATTAACCGACGATCCGTTTTTGAAGCCTGAAAAGCAATCAAATTAAAATCAAACGCAAAAACCGTAGACGCTAATGCGAAAACGAAAAAATTGTCTTCTAAATGGTTTATAAGATTTTGCGAAATTGTTCATTTTACTTGAGAAATTTCAGGAAAATTGCGACGATTTATGACATAACCTAATATTTCGTTTTGCGAGACACATACTTGGTTGAACTTTCGTTTGATGGGAGGTGTCCTGTTGAATTCTCGCGAGATCCAGGCACCTCCCTTGTAGCTTAGGTGGGCGAGTGTTTTCAGTGGGTAGACCTTGGGAGGTGGCTGCTGAGCTATCGCTCAGTGACCGCCACCCGAGGAGACCCTCACATAACCCGGGTTCTCGCCAGAGAATCCGGGTATGCGTAAAAGCATTTTCATTCGGAGAAAAGAAAAGATACGAGCAGAATGTCTTCATAATTGTTTAATGTCGTTATTGGAAATTTTCCTAGGAAAGGTTCCTATTTATAGCGCTCCGTTAGGTATAAAAGGCTAGCGCGATATCCGATTAACCAGTCGGATATTAGAGTCTATAAAAAAAGGTACGGCGGTAAACGTGTCTATAGATGCAACATATTGAAGACGTTTCTGATAATTGTTTCAGATATATCTGAATTATTATAAAACTGGTGGTTTAATTATAAACCATTGACTAAGATTACTCCAATTGTTAATGCTCGAGTATGTTTTTTCAAGTAACGTTGTTTTTTTAAATGAATTTCTATAAAAAATCCATCGAAAAAGAAACACGAATATTTAAGCATTGAAATATACAATGTTTACAAAGTTTTGGATTATAAGATTTGCAATTCTTAATTATCAGACCACAGGAAAGATAATCGTGAAAGCAAATCCTTTGAATTTAAGTAGTCTGTAACTGTCGAGAAGCTAAAATGATATGTAAACTTCTACAGAGAAACATAAAATTCATACGCTTCTGAATACGAAATCACAGTCTTCTCTACTAGAACTACGCGGTAAGTAATCGATAATTATTTCGAAATTTCCATTGCAACTTGTACAATTTGCAGAATTTGATATCGTTTGAATTGCTGTTAATCGTATCGAAATGTTCGAGTTGCATAAGATTCGTTTCTACGAATTTCATGAAACTAGAACATTTTATGCGAATAGTTCTGGTAATCAGAAGTTGTTGAATTCGGTGCTTCCAATTCAATCTACCCTATTTGTTTGATCTAAGAAAGTTACGTTACCTTCGTGGAAAAGCCTCTGTCGCATATGCTGCATTTAAAAGGTCGCTCCTTCGTGTGACTTCGGTAATGGATCTCCAGCGCGGAGTTGCACGCAAATGTCTTGTAGCAGATATTACATGTGGTGTTTCCACGCACTGTAACAAATCGTAGCTCTTTACAATTGCTTTCCGATACTTTCGGACGTGGTTCTACGTCTGTGAAAGCAATTTGTAACCGCGACTCGACCGTAAAGTATCTCTCGGAAACGCGAGAAAACAGACGAATTTGATCGTAAAACGATTGAAAAAAAAAAAAAGAAAGAAACCGATAGTTTGCGATACGAAAAGTTCGAGACGCGAATCGACTGTTATCCGTGATACTAGCTCGAAGATAGCGTTAGTCACAGTTTCCCGACAGCTCGACGAAAGGAGTGGAATGAATCGTAAAGGCAACAATCAATTTTGCAAAGAGGTTTATTTATTTATCAAATATCCACAGCTCCGACCTTCTTTTGCGCAAAAAATGTTAGGATACAAAACTGCTCGAACAGCGTTCTCGTATACGCTGGATCTATCTAACGTTTGTTCAAACGAAAATCACAAAGTGACGCGAACGGAGAATAAAATAGTAACAGAGGCATAGATAGAGAAGTACCGAAACAAAGGTGTACAAAAGAGACAGTAACAGAGTTAAGCGGGAGGGTAGGAGTGCTAGGTCCGGCTACACCACAAACAGGATGTCGATATACAGCTTGGATAAGGTGGACGAATCAGTCAGTCTTTCGGTCAGGATCAGTGAATCGTGTCAGATCGATCGGGAGGTGTAGCAGGAACTGCAGCTCGCCCTGATGCTAGCAGCGCCTACCTGCTGGCCCTCCGACAGCCAGGCCGAGCGGGTTGTAGGTCGACGTGGCAGCCAGCACAGCCGACGTGGTAAGCGAAGCCAGTGGTCCAGCTGCGCTGGATCCAGGAGTAACGGCGTTCATCGAATTGATACTGTTTATACTCGAGGATCCTATGCTGCTGGTGGACGGTGACGAGGAGACCGCTTGAAGGAGGCCTGCGAACATGCCGAAGGGGTGTGGGTGGTGTAGTGCGGTCGGCGGGGGCGGCGTTGGTACCGATGCCACTGAAGCTGGTGTCGACGAAGCGCGGGGTGTCAGGTCTAGGGGTGCGCCCGTGTTTGGCGGGCTATTACTCTTCTCGCTGCCATTGTATCGGTGGAAGGATGGCGACCTGGCCGCGTTCGCCGCCGTAGAAGTCGCTATGGTGGTGATGGTTCGCACCTGGTTTTCAAGTGCAGCGAGGGAAGTGGAGAAACTGGGAAGACCGACGTCTTTCTGCTCGTTTTCTTCGCTTTCACGGTCCTGGTCGTCTTCTATATCGCCACGACCCTCGCGGATCGCGTCACACCGCTCTTCGTCTTCTCTGCGGTCTTCCTCTTCGTCTTCCTGGTCATCCGCCTCCTCGCTGTGCTCCTCGGTATACCTCTGCTGCTGTTGCGGTTGTTGTTGCTGATGTTGATGTTGATGCTGTTGCTGATGGAGGTCTTCCTTAACATCCATATCGTTCTCCTGAGGCTGTCGTTCCAATGTTTGTTGCCGAGTTGGTGGGAAACCTAGCGGAAATCCCGTTCCCGCGGGATGAATCGATGGAAAGCCCTGAGGAAGAAACGACGCCAACGGGTGGTGAGGATAACCTGACGGGAACTCGTTCACTTCACCAGCTTGGATTTGTTCCGGACTGAGCTCCGTCGGTTCGCCGGTATGTAGGCGTATGTGTTGTTGCAGGACAAGCGCGTTTGTGAATTTCTTGTGGCAGACCGGACACTGATGGAGCACTCTGAGCGGCGGTTTCGCTCTATGCACCCCCATGTGCGTCTTCAAGTTGCCCTTCGTGGTAAACGCGCGGCCGCAAATTTTGCACTTGAACGGACGTTCGCCGGTGTGGGTTCTGTAATGCATCTGAAGCGCGCTCTTACAAGACAGCACTCTGTGGCAGATCACGCACTGGTTAGGATCGGTCAGTTTATGCTCGATATTGTCGACTAACTGTTGCAGTTTCGACGTTTCAGAGGTCTTCGTTATCTCGATCAAGCTTTCCCAGGAGTTGTCGTTGCTACCCGGCCGAGGCAGCAGACTGGAGTAAATTGCTGGATCCTTGGCTGGATCGATCATGTCACCGGTCGATACTATGGGGGCGTTTACAGCCGTCGAAGCAGCATGGTGGGGTATTTGATGATGCGCGGGCGGTCCCGGAAAGAGAATCCCCGCGAAGGATGTTTGAAGACTTCCGCTGCTCGCGCTACTGCTAGCGGGAGATGCTCCAGGATAGGCAACCATCTGCTGAGGTAAACGATTTATGGTTCCTCGGCCGGACAAGTTTTCTGGTTGTTCCTCGATCTCCTCGTCGACTTCCATATCCCCATCGCCTTCTAATCGTCCGCTCATTTTACTATCCATGCTGCAGTCTTCATAAGTTTGCGGATGGGAGAGTGGATTGGCAGAGGATTGAGGTGAGTTCAAGTACCGTCTAGTTGTTTCTTCAAAGTCCTCGCTCTCTTCTTCCGTGGGCTCCTCGGTCTCCTCCGGTTCTTTCTTAGGGGTTATCCTTTCAGCGGCTTCCTGGCTGATGGGCCGTTGCTGGTATTGCTCCTGCATGGGCGACCGCTGCTCGAGCTTGATCTCGTCCCTTTGCTCGAGCTGCTGCTTTTGTTGTTGGTGATTGTCGTGGAAGGAATGACGAGAGTTCGACACAATCGCGGGGGAATGTGGAGACGTGATCGGGGCAGTGGTTACGGGCTTACTCAAGTTCTCCGGCACGTCCTGATCATCCCGATGAGTGACGACCGGCGATCTATACAAGGGTGACATACCGGGCAGGGCTAAACTGAGGGGTAAGGGTGGTTGAGGAGGTAAAAAACCGTGCGCCGCCGCCGGGTGAAAAGAGGGATGATGAGAAGGTGGCGGCGGCGGTGGGGACGGCATCGGTCTCTGACCAGAGGCGATCTGCTGTAGCAGGGGTGGGTGGTACTTGTCCAGGTGTTCCGGAACGGGATTCGGGTTCATCTTAACATGTGGAAACTTGGCCGTATGCCTCTGGAAGTGGACCTTCAAGTTCCCTTTCGTGGTGAAGCGGCTGCCGCAGACGTTGCATTTAAAGGGTCGCTCACCTGTGTGCGATCGTATGTGGATCTGAAGCGCTGAATCGCTGCCGAACACCTTGCCGCAGTAGCGGCATCGATGCTTGAAGAACGGCTCTCCGCGACCGCTACCAGACTTTGAGTCGTACGGGGAAAGACGGGAACCCTTTCCGCCTCTGAACGCAAGTTCATCGGCCAGATTGTTAGCCAATAGACCTTGGCTGGCGTTGTCCAATACTTCTTGGGCTCTCTTCTGCAGCATCTCCAGGGTATTCGGCTCATGTAACGGCGGTGGGTCGGTATTTGTTATTATCGATGACGCTAGGGAAGAACTGATCGAGCAGAGTGGTGGCATTTGATGAGACATCGGCATCTGGCTACTGCTGGTGGTTGAAATCGTTCCCGTCGCGTTCGACGAAGCCATCGGTAGATTCAAAGGAGAAGCGCTGCTGGTCGGAGTCGGTCGTTCCTGGGACAAATTCGGCGTCATGGGAGCCGGCGAAGTTTGCCGATGACTCGGAGGACGTGACGACGGAGGCGACGTCAAGCTTGATAAAGGTTTCGGCTGGATGATAGGAGACGGAGACACTTCTTTTCCATCCGACGGCTCGCCTGGAACTTGGTGCACCGACTGGTTATGTGTGATGGATAGTTGTTGCTGAAGCTGGCTTATCAACTGTAGCTGGAACACCTGCTGATGTTGAAGAGTGTACAATGTACTCTGTAACAGTGCTAGGTCTTGCAGAGCTGCCTCGCTGTCCGCGCCACCGGCCAAAGCCGTTGCAGCGAACTGAGCGACCGCCACTTTTGTGTTTTGAAGAGCTTCCAAGGTGACGTGACTGGTTCCAGCAGGCGGAAACAGGCTAGCAGGCGCACCGCCCTCCACGAAATTATTGTTATTTTCCGCGTCCTGTCGGTGACGCATCTGCTTTCGCGATCCTTCTTCGTCGTCCTCCTGCTCGTCCTGCTCGTCAACGCCTTCCTCTTCTTCCTCCTCCAACGCATCCTCCTGATCCTTATCGTCTTCGTCGCCCTGATGAGACCTAGCTGCGGTGAGATCCACGGCTTCATCTCCTCCGACCCCTCCGCCACCACCACCACTTTCTTCACCATCCGATGTGAAGTCATTTTCTTCTCCTGTAACAGATAATGGTCGTTACGATAAGCGGTGTATCGAAAGTTCGATGGTCGTCGAATCTTCGAGTTAACGGAACTTTGGGTGTAAAACAGGACAAATGTAAATTTTTAATTATACTATAAAGAAATTCCGCGATTTTTTTGTATCTATAGCAGTTACCATAGTCATTTGACAAATAAACAAATGGGTTTTTTCAAGGGGCTCGGATATCAGAGGGACAAGAAGTAAGAGTATTTTATGTAGAAGAATATAATGCATCAAAGCGGTAGAACCCTAAGTGTATGCGCATTCGTACTCCTTATATAAGAAGATCCGAATTGAATTGAATAGAATTGAAAATATCGTTGCAAATATCGCAGAAAATCATCTTACGCATTGCCCGAAGATAATATTTCAGAAAGATCACGTAACTTCGTAATAAAAAAAAAAAAAAATCTGTGACGCCGTTGTGTTTAGTAAAAGTTTACTAATTCGAGCATTATTAAATCATTCGTTATTTTTTATATATTTAATTGTGAGAAAGACACGGCCTATAATTTCAATTGCGTAATGCTTCTTGCGTGACGACATTCAGTATGAATATCGCAATGACGATAAAAACACGTAATTGAAAACTGTACGGTATTATATGATTTATGAATTTAGTATAGGTAAACACGTCATCGATGAAATTCAATGAACGAAATTATAGAGTTAAACGTCTTCCTGCAACTACCATTTCTCGGATAAACCAAGACGTAAAAGGGGAGACACTAAATTTTATTACGACGAACAGGTAACACCCAAGCCTAGCAAAGAGAACACTTGTGCGACGCTACAAATATGTCAAAAACAATGACAAACTTTTTTGTTATTATATAAAATTGGATATTTCTATTACAATTTCATGTATTTAATCTTTACGCTAGAATAATAGTAAAACTTTGACAAAAATTATTTATTGCAGTTTCTTTTATTATTGTTGTTATTTTTGTTTCATTGGAAACATAGTGAGAGAATTTCGTGTAGTGCCAATCATAAACTCAAAAATGTTGTAAGAGCAATTAGTCTAAGAGAAACATTTTATTGTTTGATCATAAATTACAAACACTAAATATTGTCAATAAGAAAAACATTCCTAGAGTGTCTACAGTTTATTGTATACTTGTCATATCAACTTTGCTCGGATTTTAGATTAATGACCGATGGTTGAACTATTTTTTTTTAAATAATTCATGGTGGTGATACTTATTCCTCTAAATGCGTAGCGCACAAACTTATTCGAATAAACGGCAATGTGAGATGTAAATATTGACAGCGTTCTGCGATTTCCTAAAATGTAATAAGAAATTTATTTTTCTAGGTTAGTTTAACGACTGGCTATGCTAATATTAGAATAACCTCTTGCGTTGGTTACTGTTTAACGATATGCGTAATCAAACTGTCGTTTTCAATTATGAGCGATAAAACTCTCGATGAGAGTGACACGTTATTTCCAAGTCGGAGAGAACAATTTCTCGACGTACCAAGTGCAGTAAAATCTGCTTTTATGGAACTTATTGCAATTATTGGTTTCCATTTTCTCAGAAGTGATCTTTCACTTGTTACAATTTTTAGAAAATCACTGAAGGATGTACATTTAAAACGCAAAACATACGTACAGACTTGTTCTGAGAATACGGTGAACACTTGTTTAATGATCATTTTCCTTTAAATCCTCCTTAGTTTGATTTATCGCAAGTATAATTTAATTTTGATTGTTTAATCGCGTTTGTTTTATCATTGTTGTGAAAAATTACACTAAATCTTGATACGAGTGATGTATCAAGTTTGAAGAATAATTTGTAAAGAGAAAACACAACTGATATTGTAACTATATTAACGCACATCACACATGTCACCCGATCGGAGAGATCTCACTCTTTGCGCCACACCGTTTACAAATATACACTAAAATGAAAAATAATATACGTTTGAAGTGGCTCGTATCGATAGTATTCCGTAAATTCTAAGCATCTTTACAACTTTCATATCGAGTACAGATCGCAAAGACTTCTACTTGTATTTAATAGATAGACAGTTATCGAAACATTGTATTATTAGGAAAATGAATTCTTGACAATATTAATAGAGCAACACACGAATCAATTTTATTTACCAATTTCATATAATTTCATGTAACATTATCGAACATTTTCATGACCAACTGGTTATAATTACAGAAATGCGATGATTATTATTTAAAAATAACACGTTATTAATTCTATTGAAAACGATACTGTGAAAACGAAAAGGTCAAGTTATGAATTTATAGGTGATAAATATATTTCATCCAAAATGTAAAATTCACCGCTACTTTGTCGAATCGAATACGATCGAACACATCATCTAAAAAGATAACAAATATTTTGCTAATCCGTGCTCATGCGATAATTAGAAATACTTTAAATCCTTAAAACGAGTTAGACAGCATAGTTTTCGATCGAAAGAATTTACTTTCTCCTCGGTTGAAATAGAAAAAAGTGCTACAATGATGATCATATGAAGAAGGCCACCTATGCTTGCCGAAGGTCTTCGATGTTGTACCAACGATCGAAGGATGGCGTTTTACGACTTAAAATTGAAGTTTTAGAGATAACGTCATTCGAGGATCGACTAGATGCGCAAAGACGGGAGTTCATAAGGTTTCACTTCACGCTTAAATCTAACGTCAAGGTTGGAACCGAACGAAAACTTGGCAGCACGGAATCTTTTAGTTAGAATGCACAGTACAGTCGTGAAACTGAGGCAGAATTGTTGATCGCCGTCGCTGTGTCTTCGCTTTAATGTTTAATTTCATTTAATCGATACGAACCGCACATACGAGCAACTTTCACGGCAACTGTAATCGTCGGAATCGGTGAATCGTACGCGGGAAAATCATGCCAGAACTCGGAACAAAAAACCCACAGAGAACGGCACACATTTGTGTCATCGATAAGAAACGGCGGCCCGGTAATTAGTATTCCGTGTCGCGTCCCCGTGAAACCCGTACCTCTGGAAACTTTTAATAAACACCACCGGGCCCAATGAAAAATGGAAATCGCGCGATTACTATTCCCAGCGAGCTGCCCAGATCCGTTCGAGGAGCACCAGTTAACGTTTCACTCGTCGCTGAAGCGACCTCAGCACTGATCCACACTCAACGATTCAACTAGTAAGTAAGCAAGTAGCAGTTCCTGTCGCTGGCAGCAACGGATGGTAAAGAAACAACGCGATGGTCTTTTTTCCGATTCGTCGAAGGTACGAAACGCGGAGGTGTTCGGCGCTTGGATCAAGGTCAAAGCGTACCGGAAGATCGGGGACACGAGAGTCGGGCGAGTCTGCAGGTGGTCTGTTTGATTCGGCGGCACTCGAGACGGCGCGTGATGCTCCATCTCATGAGTTGCATGTCTTCACGAGTCCGCAGAGGAGTTAATGCGTGGTCAGTGCGTGGCGCCGACTTGCGGTGACGCGTGGAAACTTGGCTGCGTTTTAACCGGACGTCCGCGTGTCGACCGCTGTCATCCGGCAAGGACGAGAACCGACTGATCGCTTGGTAAAGAGCCGGTCTGGGCGTAGGTACCGTCGTGCAACGTCACGCGTCATCCTTCCCCCACCAACCACTCCTATCCCTACCACTGGCTCCCCTCCCGCCGCGCGCAAGCTTCTGCACTCGGTTATGACAGGGAAGGCGGTGCGGTTCATAAATCAGGGGGTAAAGGGCGGGGTCTGCGCGAACCATTCAGCGGCCGGTTATTAATTATTATACAGCGAGAACCCCCTCCACGCGGTTCCACCTACGCCGCGCAACTTCCGGATCTACGGCGCTGCGTGCGTCCCTTCGTCCGACTAGCGAGTCGCACGGCTCGATGTCTCCCGCTTTCGATTTTGTTCCCCGCGCGAGGCTGCCTCGCGGGACTCCGAAGTGCGAATTTAGGCGACCGGCCAGTGACTATTTACTTCGTTCGCGTAATGACTTCTACGATAACTTGGCCAAAATTTCGAAACAATTCAACCCAGTAATCGTATCCATTCGAACGTCCTGAATTCGAAAACCTCTATAAGCCTACAATTTCATTCCCTTCCTTTCCGTTATGAAACAGCTAAACATTTTTCGTTATTCCAGGAAATGTTTATCTAATCGGCTTTTTAAACAGCAGTACTAATAAACGCGTTTAACGTTCACTCTGTATTTCGTTCTGTACAATGTAAGAATATACTCTTTGTATATATACCTTAACGCAATTTTTAACCGACTTCGAGAAAGGAGGAGGTTACTCAATTCGATAAGTATATATATATATTTTTTTTGGTATTATTGTGCGTATTTTTCTTGCATGCATACAATTTTATAATGACGCCTTGTGCAGTGAAATTTCTTATTCGTTCTTCGCTTGTCATGGTAAATAATAAACGAAAATTCACGAACATGAAGCATCTACGGTATTAAATGATATTAGACACGCCGAATGAGGAGTTAACGTTGCTATGGCATCAAGACCCAGTATTTACCGTAAAACACTTGGTTTATATTTGAATCACCATCGTGCATATCTGCATATAGTTTTTATTACATTTTTATACAATTAATGCCCAAACTAGTTGTGGGTATTTGTTGTGTGTTCTTTTACAAATAAACCTTCAATACCATATACATTACATGTATGTGAAAATATGGTCTTTACAGTCTCTATAACGAAAAACTATGAGTTTCAAGTCAAACAATTGACTTATGAGAGAATGAAAGCCTCGAGACTTATTCTACTTCGAATTCCATTATATTTTTCATAGAAGCCTATTTTCGGGTGAAAATGCTAGCAGTAACAACTTTATCAGCCTCGATTCATAGTGCGCTCAAAAAATAGGAGCCACACCCTTTTTTTAAACTAATTTACGCACATGAAGTGATCTTAAAACAATAATTTTTGTCGCCATTTGGATTTCCTTCGACAAATGAAAAAATATCAAAGTTTATCTAATAAATGTGATATGCTAGTGG